CGCAAGCAGCAGAGCCGGCCAGCCGTCACCACGGCACACCGGCGTCGCCGTAGTCGAAGTCTCGGGGACAGTTGGCCACCGGGCACGCCGTCTTTTTGTCCTAACGCGACTTCACCACCTTTTCTCGACCGACCGACAGACCGACCGACCATCTCCTCGCCGCCCCGCCGTAGCTGCTGCTGCTGCTGCTGCCACAACGGGGGTGGCACCGCTCGCTCCGTTTCTAAAGACATGAACAGCTCCCGCCCCCTGCCCGTCTGTCAGGCGGTTTTGCCCTCCGCCACAAGAACAACAAGAAGCAGCAGAACCAGCGGGATAGAAAAGAAGATGGCGACACACCGACGCACCCAGGGATGACCGACCCACCCAGCCCAGAAGAACAAAGAGAGGGGAATACACCCGGTTTCCGAAGGATGACGGCGACGACACCAGCAGCAGCACCTACGGGGGGCCCGGCGGACAAGAGGGGGCCAGGCTCCCGCTCTCCCCCCCCGCCGAGTTCTCCTCCGCGGGGCGCCCGCCGCCCCCTCCCCCGCCGCCGCCCTCCCCCTCGGCACCGCCAGCGGGCGGCTTGAGAGCGGCGAAGCCGCCCCCGCCGCCCGCGTCGCTCCGCCCTACGCTCCCGCCGCCGCCGCCGCTGCCTCTCCAGCAGTTGAAGCTGTCGCTGTCGCTCTCGGCGCCGCTCCCGAAACGGAACTTGGGGAGCTCGGCATCGGGCGGGTGCTGATGGAGGCGTTCGTGTCGCTCGTTGACCTGCCGCGGAAGGGCGGGGAGTGGAGAGGGGGCAGGGCAGAGGGTGCCCGAGCGAGGGGTCGGGGTAAGCTTTCGGTAGCTTTCGGTTCATGTGTGCGTCTGGGATAGTAGCATACCACGCGCTGACCGGCCGATCAACGACCCAAAACATCCTCTGCCGGAGCTTGGGGGGGGGGTCGCGTCGCCACTCCCAAGAAAAAATGTACAATAGTCCAAAAACGACCGCTGCTCCCAAGACAACCATCTGTTGTAGTCTGATTCGCCGACCGATGTACCTTCTGGTAAAGCTCGTCGAAGTGGCACGAGGACCATGCGAGGTACTTCGCCTCGAAAAAGTCCAGGAGATATCTGGCAGAAACCATGAAAGGGTTGTCCATCTTGCGCACCCGTGGGTACGATGTCTGCAGCAGGCCAGGCAAGGACACCCGAAGGAGGGGGGGGGCGACAGAGTACAATACACGGGAGAGGAGGGAGGTAACGGGAAAGCAAACCAGGACAGAA